TCTGAGAACCACAGCAGCTTCTTTGTTTTACTTTGCAAATTCGTTTGTTGTGTCTGTCTCCTTTTCTCAGTAAGAGCCTCTTGACAGCTACACATCCTTTCAGAGTGAGTGTTGTCTTCTTACAGTGCAGAGGTTGGCAACATGTGGCTGCCGTGTTGTGGCTCCACAGCAGAATGAGATATTTAGGTAAAAATAAAATAATCCTCCTTTGCAGTAAAATAAAGCTCTGCTGATCATTCTAACACTTTTTAATATAAAAGAATGCATTAATTTCCTGAACACAGAACAGCATAAAACATTTTAACACCCCGGTTACATTTTTGAGCGCTTTTGAACTCGAGTTATGGGAATTTAAAACGGCGGCTTACATACGTCCATGACGTCAATGAGGACAAACAGCCAATTAGCTGCTCCGCTCGCCAACCAATCAGCACTTAGTAGCAGTAACGCTTGTGCCCTGCTGCCCAAAATCCTTTTGCTTTTAGAAAAAAGTAAAAATACAAATAAGTTATCTTTGCTTTTTTAGTTAAATTTCTATTTTCTAAAATTAGAGGAAAGTTCTGAGCAAGTGATTAGAAACCATTTTAACTTTTAGTTTTTAACCGTTTAGCTTCATTTACCTGCTCTGGTACCACCGGAAGCTATGGGGTCAATGTAGCCAATAGTTCGCGCGAGATACGTCAAATTCTCTCATTGGTAATATAAGTGAAAAGAATTCTCCGTCCACATGTCACAAAGTATTTTATGGCCTTACAGACCACCACAGTCTACACTGCTGCCTTCTTCGTAGTTGGTACGTTATTACGACCTCTTCTACCATCACCATGTTTGTTGTCAGACGCTTTTGACTCTGGACTGCCTTCTTGTGGATGTACTGCTTAACATCCATACCAACATAAAGGACGCATGGAAGTATGTGGACAGTGACGGTTACATCGTTTGAAACAGACGTGTTCTTTTTCGTACGAGCCTTTAGGGAGCACAGCAATGCAGTGTTTGTGCTCACAGCGGCTGGTGAGCAGTGCTAGCACTGTTTAAAACTGGTAATTAAACAAATTCACACTACTCAAACACAGATTCTTTACCGTATTACACACACCTCCGTCAAACTGTCCCTCGAAAGAGCTAGAGTGCCGACAGAGTCGACTCCAAGCATTTCGATTCTCAGAGTCACTGGCCAAGAGTAGATCCCGACACCCAGACGCGTAGGAGTTGAAGAAATGATTCTTTTGGAATCGACTCCCCATCACTAAGCACTACGCTGAAGAGCTGCAGGTTCTTGATTCGGTACAAACGCTGCATGGAAGGATTGAAACACAGACAAAAATAAAAAGGTCGGATAAATTATGATTCATCCTGGCAAACAATATATAAGCAGCAGCGACTATTTTGTCCATAAACAGTTTACATATCTTGCAGTCGGCAGAAAAGTGAAGATAGCTGTCATCTTGCCAATGTTAACCTAACGAGTTAGCTAGCTAGCTAGGTATGCAAGCTAGCTTGTCCAGTGTGTTTTCGGCTAACGTGCTAACTTGCGTTATTATTATTAAGATTGTTTATAAATTACTACAAAACTACTGTCAGTAATTAATAGTATATCTCAATTTAGTTTAAATAACTTCGATTTTGCCCTTCTCTCCCAAAAACCTGGCTCCAATATTTGTATGAAAATTCAAAATAGTATTAGATAACATTACCAAGCAAGTAACTGTAGTTACAGAACAAGTCTTAATGTTAGTAACTGGATAAAAATCCACTAATCCAGTTTTCATTAAAAAACTACATTTATGTAATCCAAACGTTATGACTTGGACACAACACATCATACATGGCCTTTCTTTGGATTTCAAAATGAGTATTTATGTGTAAGTAAGCCCAAAGGTCTAGACTTCATTCTCCATAAAACTGAGTAACAAAAGCTTCACACAATTACACAACACCAGCTTCCCATAAACCATGAGGACTATGCTTTCTCCCATCTGTGTTGTTTTATTGGAATTTGAAATACACTTTAATTACAGTACGGATTGCACAGACCAACACAACCACAGGGTTTACAGGACACACATGAGAACTAGGCAGCCGAGAGGTTTGACGTTCGGTGGCCCTTGAGATAATATTGCGCGTTTGCTGGAGGGCAGGGATGGAGAACGTCAAATTGTAGCCGGGATTAAACTATGACTGTAAACCAGGCTGGCAGACCCTTCCCAGTAGAACTCCACTTTGAAGCTAATTAAAACAGAAAACCACTTTTGTTTTTGACGCAGATGTTACAGACATGTTCCTGGAGACAGGAGGAAGGTTTTGATTGTTTTTTTATTAGAATTCAAACAGTTTGGTCACAGTACGGCAATATTGCAAACCTATGGGTTTTGCATGCTTTTATTATTTTTTCTTTACTCGAATTATACCAAGCATAGCAATAATCAGGTAACCATACATCAGGGACACAGTCGGAATTAATCTTACAAGAAAGCTAACAGATGATCAACAGTGATCAGCTGATAGATTCTTTCATTCAAAGGATTAGGATGTTGTTTTTAACTTTGAAGCAAAAAAGCTAAATATTCAGTACAAAATGATAATCAGAAACTTTCAAATCCCAGTGACTAGTGTTAGGGGTCTTGAAGTGAGACATGAAAAATGGCATGAAATTTAAACAAATGTAGAAAGAATTAAACCAGTAACACTACTTGACCTGGATCAAGCCTAAACTTAGACCAAATGGGATTTTTAATAGTAGAACACCTTTAGCATTACAGTTTAGTCTAAGACTAGGTTTAGTCCATGTCCTAGAAATCACCCCTACTAGATATTCAGCCATTATGACAGAGATAGTACAGTGAGTGGTGTTCAGCAGGTTAAACTCAGGCTGCTATGTACATTTGACTTCTCTGACCATCTAAATGTTAAGGAACATTAAAGCCGTAATCAAGGACTTGCAACTCTACTATACAGCTGATCTACAGAATATACCTTCCTTGAAAATAACACATTCATATTCATCAGACTGTTGATGATAAGGTGAAACAGTGGGAACACTCTCTGGTAATGCTTTACTTGAACCTACTACACAACACTGACATAAATATGCTATAAATGTGTCATATGTTGTTATGAGTTGTCATGACAGATTATGTCCAGTAATATAATAGTGTCATGTTACCATTACCAGTAATTATACATGACACTGTTATATTACTAAACAAAAGCTGTCATGACTGTGCTATGACATTTTTATGGCATGGTTATGTCAACATTATGTAGCAGGGTTCCAGTAAAGTGTTGCAGACTCTGGTATTGATAAACAATAACAATCAAAAATGTATAAAATAAGAATGTTTTCATTTTAGACTCTGCCTATGAATTTTCAAAGTAGACCATGTTTCCAGGACTTCAATCTTGCAGAAAATTAAGCATTGAAGCTGCTGTTTTGGTTGGTCACTGACTGTGGCTTTTTTTGTTCATGTTGCTGTTTTGTTTTGTTTTTGTTTTCAAAGATTTCCACCATCCACGCTTGCTCTCGTTTTCTCCAGTCGTCATTCTATCTATGTGCCCAAAAGTAATCAGAAGCAGGACAATTTTGCCTCAATTATGCCCTCAATGCGGTCAATTAACAATCTCGAGTGCAGGAAATCCCGACTCCACTTGATGCCAAAAAGAACCAGTTCACCTTGAAATCTCAAGATGCATTCAAGCCAACAGATGAACTGCAGCTACTCTAACAAGGCACTTGTCCATGTGTTCCATGGTTTGTATACATTTCCTGTTTATAGCGGTGACGTGACAAGGCCAGATCTTTCCAGTCTTTGGCCTTCACTCTGCAGTGAGGAGTAATCTGTCTGGAATCGCTGTCTCACCGGAAGTGTAAATCATCCTGTTTATGGGGGTGTAGGTAACAGCCCAGCATGCCTCACATGAACAGTTGCTTAAGATCTTGTGGAAGCGTCACATCGGTTCTTTCTAAGCAGAGCCAGCTTCTTAGAGGTGGTTTCCCACAACTATCTGTATGTCAGGTTCCAGATATTTAACTGTGTCCTTGCAGGTCCTAAAGGCATGCTTAGAATGAGCCAGTTACAATACCTGTTGTAATTATCAGGTGTGCTGCTGCGTCACTCAGTGTTGCATCAGAGTGGGGTAATAAGTAATGTGCTTGAGATCAGTTCAACAATGAGAGAGACGAAACAGGTTTACAGTGGTGTGTGCAAGTGAGTCAGTAGGCCTGCTTCATTTTGCTCTGGGTTGCTGTCTCCTTTGTTAGCAGTAATGTACACGTGATTTGCAGGATAACTACATAGACTAGACAGATTACAGTGAAATCCAGTGTTTTTTAACTAATACACTACTAGCAAAGAAGTGTCACAACAGGAATAATTGTCTTCTTCATTTGCATGTGGTTTGCAGAACAATTCACACTTTCTCTAGGCAGTGGTGAAACCATAAATCTAGATGCCATAGCATGACTCCTAATGGCTGGGGCTTGATGAGACTAGCAGAAATTAGCTACATCAGTTTCTATGGAGCAAAGAAAGATAACTCTATGGGTCGGTTTCCCGGACAAGGATTACACCTAATCCAGGGCTGCATTTTTCTTTAAATAGAGAATCTCCATTCAGAATGCTGTCTTAAGCTTAATCCCTGTTTGGGAAATCGATACCTTAATTTTTTAACAATGTCTGGAAAGATTGAATATATTAAGTATTTGCAATAGTAATGTGGTAATTATTTTTCTTGTACAAGGACAAGTTAACACCCTTTTCTCCTAGAGCAGCTTTTCTTTCCCCCTGAACTGCCATGTCTGGCTCCTCCTTATCTGATCCACTGTGCAGTGTAGGGCTGTCTGGTGTTTGCTCTGTAGTTTCATCTGAACTGTCTTTACATCCAGTTAAATTCAGGCCAAACTGAGTCAACAATGTGCTGTAACTTCCCCAGCATCACTTTTTCCTGGGCGCCCCTCACTGAAAGAGGACTCGGGAAACATCTGCGAAAATGATTGTAACTTTATAGCTATATTATAGAAAATGATTAAAATAAAATACAATTGTAAAACCACACAGTTCTGGGCATTTCTAAATTTCATTTGCTCAGCAATATATATATATATATATACAGTGCTAGACTTCTTTTGCTAAAAAAAGAACAATACATATACATATCAGATTATGTTACAAAGAGCCAGTTTCCAAGGCCCAGATTAGGCCTAAAAACTAAAAGCATTTCCAATGATGATTCACAGCAATTTAGTCCAAGACTAGACTTGATCCTCGTCTGGGAAACCAGCCTTGACTGATTTAAAGCACCTTGCTGTGTGAAATAACTAAAACTCTGTCATTTAGTTCAAGCTTAGGACTTAATTAAAATTCAGTACTGTACAGATATAAAAGCAATCAACAGATATGCATAAATTCCTTTTTCCATTGCATTATATTGCAGGGATATTGTAGAAGCATTCTATAAAATGTAAAAACAAATCTGATAGTTACAGTAACAAAAACAACAAACATTTGAGGTAAAACAGAAAGAAATGCGTTGGGCTGGACCCGAATCTTCGGCTATTTAGATATTCGTTCGTTGGAATTTTTGACATTCAGATATTCTTCTTGTTTTGTTTTGTTTAAAATATATGCTATCAATAAAGGCGACCTGCAAAATTCTGCAGTGTTCGGGGTTCTGTGGAGAAACTCGGATGACTCAAGATCATGGTCCATAACGCAGCTTTATTTTTAATTCACTGAAAACAGCACCAACCGAGAAGAAACACAGCCTTTCTAGCAAAAAACACATCCCTCTGCTCTACTCTGGAAAACACACCACTCTACTCATATTCAGGCTCTTCAACATAAAAGTCCTTGTATAAATGAACCTAAAGTAGTCCAGCAGAAACATTTTGCTCTCTTTTAAAAAACTGAACTACTTACAACGCCACTATACATTTTGTCAGCACTTGTACTACATTTATACTTTTTAATTGCACTGTTAAAATGTGGAAATATATACCATCTCAGCTCAGTCACCTGGCATCCTGCTCACTCACAGACCCTTACTAGGGCTGCGATGTATTCCCCCTTAAACCTTGAGTTAGACCACATCCGTAAAGCGCTGGTTAACCCGTGCATGCACTGTGCTATTACCTCCAGCCCACTGCTGAAAGAGGCTGATGGGCCTGGTAAACTATCTAAAGCTGCGCTGTGGGGAAAGTAGCTAGTTTGGAGATTCGGATTTTATAGTGGTTGAAGCCGCAGATGTGTTTTCAAAATGAGCATAGGACCCAGGTTTTCTGAATGACTTTATCTGCACCCAAACCCCCTCCTCCCATCGAATATTCGCTGTTGATTACTGCCGAAGCTCCGGAGCCCAAAAACGGTATTCGGGACAGCCCTAGAAATGCATTGATCTCTACTTTCAGACAAATCCCACAAGGTTGAATGATAAGTCTCATGCTAATATGAAACATCAGTCTGAAGATCCAGTGGGCTTTCTGCACTACACTGACCATGCTACAATGTTCAAGAAAGTTGTATATAAAGAATCAGTCATGCTCTTATATGCAACCACACAACAAATCAAAGTCCTTAAGTCTTCAGCATATCCTGAGTAGACGTCTTTTTCTCCTCTGACAGTCGCAGACTATTACTTGTCTCTGGACTTGAGTTGGTAGTGCGGGTGTTGGCCCTGGATGACCTCTGACGGCGGGTGCCATTGCAGACGCAGCGCATAAGGTTTTTAAAGGTGGTCCACATCTCTTCGTCCTTGTAGGAGTAGATGATGGGGTTCATGACCGAGTTGAGGACGGCCAGAAGAAGCAACCAGCGTTTGAACTTCAGTACGTTGCATTTCTTACATTCTAAGCCATCCAGGAGCAGCACCACCAGGCCAGGTGTCCAGCAGATCACAAACGCTCCTGCAAGAAGCATAAGCATAGCTATTTTAGAACCATTCACTATTTTCAAGAAGTTGCCAAATGATCAGTTTACACAGCTAGGCAGGGACAAAAATCATTACAAACTAAACAATCAGACGTTTTATCTCAATCACATTCAATGGCTTACAGAAATTCAGCCAAAACTACCAATAGAGAATTCTAGTTTTGTATGTGTGTTTATATTTTTCTCACACATTATGATTTTAAGCTAAATAAAACTGGGCCGTTCTTGTCATAAGCAAATTCTTGGGAAGCATTTGAAGTATTCAAGATGTCTGATGGCATCAAAAGTACTTGGAATGTAGATGCAAAGTAGGTTTGTGCATGAACATTATATAGTAGTTTCTCAAACATGGTCTTTGTTCATCAAGTGGCCAAATGCAAATCAGGAGTTTCAATTCTTTGCTACTGTTTTTCCTGCTGGGACCTGTGCATTAAGGGAAAAGGGCACTTTTGACATATATCCCAAAATCCATTAAAGCCTCCAATTTGGCAAGATCACATTTCCCTTTAGGATAGTGAACATTATATTCAGGTTTTCCCATTTTATTAACACATTTTCTGTCAGTAAATCTCAATGTAATTAGTTGACTGACTAGGTAAAATCTTCAAATGGATTAATTTTACTTCAGAGATTTACTGGTAAACACATCTCTGAACGATGTTCCTTTTGCTAGCATTGTGAATATTTACCTTGGCATCTACACATTTGAATTAATCAGATACGCAGGCATGCTATGCAAGGCATGGCATTTGTAAAGAAGAGGACGCCTTCAGAGTGAAACTGTTTTAATCACAAAGTGCATCTGAAAGTCAGATATGCTTTGAACAAAACTGCATTTAAACTGGGGCTCTCACAATTACTTGACTGAAATCAAACTTGATTTAAAAAAAAATGAGTCAATTAAAGTGTACATTCTGAGTGATAAAAAGGGAATACACTGGTCATAATAAAGCCATATTTAGCAGTTTGAAAATTCACCATAAGTGGCACTATAATTACTTTAGTGAACACCACTGAAAAAAGAAGTCCACACCAGTAGGATCTGGATCTCATGGATGCATATATGCTTGTAGTTACAAATTTCAAGTAGGTGAAGTGAAATTAAATGCTTGCTGTTATGAACTGTGTGAATGAGCAGGCAAAAGTTTTGTTAAACTAGGTCCAGGCCAAACAGCTCAGAAAATAGGCTACTCAGGCTAACAAGGTACTCCAGTAACATTCAGTTAAGCTATATCAAAGGATTCACTGTAAAACTGCTACATATAAAGTAAAAAATATGCCACTTTACTGTCTATTACCAGCTTCAAATGTCTGTTTTTAGAGACATTTTAGTTCTACTAAGGCCAACTCTGGCCTAAGTAAACCTTGGGTGGAAAACGAACAACTCCTGCCAGTCATTTTTTAGTTGTGCCCATTTTTATTGTTTGACAACCGATTCCTTGATTAATCGGTAAAATAATCCCTGCATTTGGCAATTTCTCATAGAATCAATAGTGACAGCAGCTATAATCTAAAGTGTTCTTTTCAAAGTCAGATTAGAAAGATCTACTTAGGCCTACAGATTTTAGCTTAATCCAAAACAACTACTGGAGCTATGGGCCTGTACCTCTGTTGTATACCAGCAGTGGGTCATGTTTCTGACTTTTCTGAAGAATTCCAAAAAATCTGCTCCTACATGTTCAGTGGGCCTGTGCTTGTTGGGAAAGGTGCGGGTAGTATGAACAAACAGTGGCGCAAACCACACTTTGCTTGAATAAGAGCAGCTTTCCTGAATGCTTTAAGAATGACCTGAAATCCTGTCTGTAGCCAGCCACTGAACAAGCTCAGACAAACAGAAGGGAACTGAAGCAGATAACATGTATGGGCTTGTTGCTTAAAACAGTGTTCTTTAATGCACGGGGCTGTATTAGAGAAGAACAATGGTGATCCTGTTTTCAGCAGCTAAGCGTAGAAGAACACAGAGCTGAAAGAGCGATATATGTGCCTATTTAGCCGCAGTGCCATTCACTAGACACAACCCAAAAGATTTTACAACAAAACCCCATCAAATGGGGATTCCTCTGCAGCAGGCGTGACCCCATATAAAGTGTGCAGCCGTCCCCTCTAATCACATTAGAAAACATCTGGAGGAAAAGGCAGGGCTTGTTTGTGGCCATTTAGCGCACAGGCTTTTTGCATAACCATTCATTCTATTCTGTGTTTTCTGTGGCACCATAGAGGTTCAAACTGACCACAAACATTTAAAACATTATCATAGACATCTTGAAAATTTGCATAACTTAAAGTGCTTAAAGATAAGCTATATATAGATTTATGTATGTGTTGAAAACATCTCGGTGTTGAAAATGGAAAACTCCAGAATGCTCCAAAAATAAGGCTTCTTTTTCCTCATGGCTCCAAGAATTTGATAATGCTGAATGACTACTCCCCCCAAAACTGCATGCACCCTATCTCTTATCTGTCTCAGTGCAGTTGCAATTTGTTCATTTACAAACATATCTAAACAAATAAGTAAAAGAAAAAGAGCATCTTTCATTTTTTAAAGTTCCTCTTGAAAAACACAGAACTGTAGAGAAATGAGGAGACCTTTCAAATAACTTTCAGTGGTTATCTGAATGGGAGCCTCCCTTGCCCTTGCTTTATCATGAACTGTAAAAGTTTATCATTAGAGCATGTCAGGCATGCTCAGGGACCAAGAAAACACAAAAGAGTTTCTTTCCAGCTGCTTCTTAATGCTGGCTTGGAAGGCATGCTATTCTGTCGCAACACATTCTAGGAGAATTTTACCCTTTTCAAAAGACGAGACGCACGACAGATTAATGTAATATTTGTCTCCGTGTGTGCCACAAGAAAACAAAGATGGAATGTAGTATGGTGCTCATAATCGGGCATCTTCTATCTCTAGTTGACGTACATCACATAACTCAGGATCTTCTTACTGTGAACTCCGGCGTAGGTTAACCACATGACAATCTATCATCATTATGCAGTGCCTCACTGGAACAATCTCTTCACAATAACAAAAAAAAAGACAATAAATGGGCCAAAGTAGGCCATTCTCATATTTGAGTAATTGGCCCAAAAGGAGGACGCTGTCTCAAAGGACATCAAATATGAGGTTCTTTTAAAGCCTCTTTCTTTGGAAGCCACAAGTCATTCAAACTAGCGGTTCGGCTCAGATGCCAGGCAGTGCAAAGACTGTCCCTGTGAAAGATAATTATACAGCCTTGGAGTAGACGTGCAGGAGGACTCCACCAGTTTCTGTTTTGGTCAGATATCTCCTGACCTGAAGCTTTCATCTTTTTCATCAACGGCAACTTCCAACACATGTGCTTTAAAAAGCCTGGCAGTTGGATGGCATTTACAAACTTTACGAAAGGAAAAAAAGGTTCAACCCACTGACAGACAAAGCCAAACAAAAGAGACAAAAAATCAACCATAAACCTCTGCAGATAAGAATCAGGGGGTTGTAATGCAGGCTAAGCCCAGTGAACCTGACGCTGCGCTAAACCTCAGGGCAAATATCCTGTTGAGCACAAGTTGCTTATCTTGTCTGGTGAGTACAGCATGAGCAAATGCAGTCCCTTCCCAATTAACAGGAATCATGTCATGTGCCGTAGTGAGGTAACTTTCAGCTTATTAATTTGCCCAGTAAAACACAACAGTAGAGTGCTAACATTGTGTAATATTAGCTATTCAAACTTCTGTGCAAAAACGAAAGACAATAAGCTTTGACTGATAACATGTTCCTAACCATCAACAGGAATCGAAGGGATCCTCATGCAACTCTTTATTTGTTAATCTTTGATAAGTACACATTAATGAGACTCGCTGCCCCTAAATCTACCCAAGTTTAATTAGACCATGTGATTAGTCTCTGTAATAAACAAAGATAAAAATGCTGCACTCAGCATACATGAAGTCGCTTGCTTGAGGAAGGTGTGGACCTTGAAACCAGCTGATAAGCAACTATCAGTGAGATTTTTTTTTTTATATTGCAAGAAAGTGTAGGCAATCATAAATCTTGTAATTGCCATTGAACTTCAGGTTACTAGAGTGTCTGTTTGAGTAACTAGGGTGGATATTTGGGGAGTGGATGTTTTTTCCTGGTAATATAGTTTTGCATAGTATAGCTACTTGTACTTCATATAGATCAATGAGAAGTCAAGGAGAACATAAAAGAAGCCTACCCAGCACAGTCATCACTGTTTTAATGAGCTTGATTGGTGTCCTCTTGCGGTTCATAGATCCACTTGTGTGGGATTTTAAGACTGATGTTTTCTTCCTTACATAGAGATATATCCTCAAATATATGGACACCATTATCAGGAAAATAACCAGGTTGGACACAGACCAGAAGATCAGGTAGCTCCTGCTGAAAATGGGTGCTAGTGTGGAGCACTGCTTTAGATTACACATACAGTTCCACCCCAGACTTGGCACAGTCCCCATAAATATGGAGATGGCCCACACCAGCACGATCAGGAGGGTCACCCGCCGCTTAGTGAGGTTACTGTGAACTTTCCAGTTCATGACTGAAATGTAGCGCTCCAGGGCAATCACCAGGAGATTTGTGAGGGAGGCTGAGAGGCTTGTGTCCAGCAAGCCCTGGCGAATGAAGTAACTTTGCACAGTCAAAGTCCGGGATACATCACCAGTGTTGAACATGAGATACACATATGCGATTCCAGCAAGAAAGTCTGAGGCTGCGAGGTTGGCCAGGAGGTAATAGAATGGGTAGTGAAACCTCCTGTTTGTGATGACGGCTGCGATGACCATGGCGTTGGACACCAGGATGAAACAGCAGAAGATAGACCCAACACTCTGAACCGCGATAAGCTGTTTGGACTCCCAGCCATCATTTGTCTGGTTGCTGTTGTTGTAGAAGAAGCCCATAGACTTGTTATAGTGGCATTCACTCAGATTAGCCATCTTGCGCAGATCACACTGCCATGAAAAGAAAAAGTGATAAATATCTTTGTTACAGTGACTATTCAACAAAGACATAATGAGGGAACTCCTTGAAAAAAGCTAAAACCCTATAATGTGACAGTATGAATTGTATAACCACAACAGCTTACTTACATGAAGTGTAGTTTAATAAGCATATTATGAGATAAGACCTGATTTTTAACACACTGGTTAAAATTAAAAATATCTACTCTCCACCGACAGCAGTGCCATTACCGTGAGGAGGTTGAATATCACATCTCTATTTATAAGCTTTCACATCAGTGAACATCCTTAAGCAAAGGGAATTATGTCCACATATTTTCAAAATATGTGTCAACTTTGTAGTATATTTTCATATATTTCTGACATATGCAATGCAATTTATATTTCAATATATTGACATATATAAATACATTGGTATATATTTAAATAATTACAAAAAAGCCACAGTTAAATATATTTAGTATGTATATCTTAAAACATAACATTTATGCACATATATTTTAAAATGAGCACATATACATCCATATATTTTTATTGCTTATCTGTTGTATGACGTATAAGCCTAATGTATGCTGGGTATTGTAGTGAGAGAGAGAGAACACTGACGGACAAAAACTCAAAATGGGATAGAAAACTGTGGATTCTGTCAAACTGTTGAGGCTGAGGGACACAAAGCTGTGCTACAGAATACTATATAACACGACAAATAGCATTAAATGTTAATTTTAGGTCAGAATGGCACTTTAGGAGGGAACAAGTTCTGAGTAGACTCCATAGTAGTCTACAGGTAGGCAGCACCTTAACTCACAAACCTGATAGAAATAAACAAACACAGTACAAATTCATAAAAGCAGGATAAAGTGTAAGTGGTAACATCGCTCAACTGAGCTCACTTACCAAGAAGAAAGAAAACACTCGGGCGAGTTCAAGTGATTTGTTGCATTTGCTCACAAACGTTGACACAGGGCGCTCCACATAGTTGCCATCGCCAGGCTTCACCGGCTCTCCACACTGAGCTGAAGGACGTGAGCTAGTGTAGCGTAGTGAGTTAGAGTTTTAGAGGTGGCGCTTGTGGAGGTTTGGGGCGGACGAATGAGTCTGGTGGGGGGAGGAGGGTTATGGGTGTGGATTGTCAACAGGGCTTTGTATAGTGCACTCTGTACCGTCTCTGAGCTCAGATATAATGTTCGGCTCAGCTCAGGTGACTGTTCTTTTACCCCTGTGCTGTAGCATAGCCATTCAGCTCAACCATCCGTTTGCGTTCACCTCGTTTGGCAATGCGTAGCTGACATCACACGCAGCGTATTTTCTTCCCTGACAAGGTTCAAGGAAATTAAATGCCGTTTATGAATCACACTCTTGCGTAACACCTGAGCGTAGTGATTAAAGCAGAGTGTTGTGAACGTATGAGGAGTGATTCACTGTACAGGGAGGCTACAGCAACGTTTACAGGACGAGTTTCACTTCTAAACGCAGTTTTCTGATGGAAGTGAAACTTGCCCCAGAAAGCACCTGGCTTTTGGTGAATCACAGGCTGCAGTGATTTTTAATAAAAGAGATTTTGTTGAAATATGTAGATGTGCAGCCATAACTGGTGCCACATGTATTTTTTGGAAAACTTAACCCAGTGTCAATGAGTGTCCATTCAGTGCCCATATCTGAGATATCATATCAGTCCATGTTAGTTGTGCTTGCCTCATTTTTCAAACCATGTAGCTAAAAAATGAGGCTTTATCACTTACATTAAATTCATTCATTTAATATATTATACTATATATTATATAAGTCTTTTGGTCTCATGGTGTAATGCATATTTAAACAAAACAACTGAAAATCCACGTGATTGTGAATGCAACTATGAAAAGTGCACATCTAATAAAGCAATAAGCCACGAGAGGCCGTGCAATACTGTGATTTTATCTCGGGAAGGGTGTTCTTAAAACTCCCTCCCTGTGATAAAATCTCAGTCACAAAATATGATAAAATACGCAATTTTTCAGAGAATAATTTGTTATTATTAATAATAATCGACATAAACAAGTATTCTGCCAAGAAATGTAGTTCCTTTAGAGTATGGTATCATTGCCAAGCAACCACGGACCGCTGCATGAGAAGCTTTCTGGAGTATGACAGTGAACATATCATAACACAGCACTGTTTAACCTTTGCTATATAAGTACCTTTTGGTCACCAAATTAACACCATGAGTCTTATTTAGCACCAGTCCAGCTGCGCCCCTCTTCTCACGCTGGGGCTGAATCTCAAACGGCTCCCTGCTCCCTACATAGTACAAATATAGCTAAGAAATAGTCATTTGGGATACAGACACATCCATACTCAATAAATGATGCACTATTTGGCTGTAGAGGCTAGAATGTCTAAACTTTCAAAGCTAGCACACTATTTAGGGAGTACGGAGCCATTTGGGATTCAACCTGGGTTTGGCTACTTCTGACTGAAACACGAACATTTGAATCCGTTCAAGTGACTACCATATTACTTACTAATCATACCGTAAGTACTTGAATTCAAGCCTGATATTAATGATGGAGTTGTTTAGGCTGTTGGCTATTTTTTAGCCTTTTAGCTAGCTGACCAGCCTAGTTCTAGTTAAGAACATAAGTCACCAGCCCCTCAGTTTAAACAAAAAACGGGTTCTTACTTCATCAGTACACAGATTAATCCATCAACAGCACAAGGGTTTTTTTGTGCCGTGGCGCAGTAATATACAATTCAGTTGTTGTGAGGCGGTCATAAGTGTGCTTATATCGTGGATTTTACAACGGCTTCAACGGCTTCAAATTTTAATTTTACAACGTGGCTCAGCCAATCAGATTTTAGAACTGGAACTATCCATTTTATAAAATAAAATAGACTGATAGATGTTCATACAACCTATAACCACACAAAATTTAATCAGCAAGAATGTCTGCTGCATTTTCCCTTGTCATACTAGTGTCAGTTAGTTGTTGGACATGATTGGTTATGTACTTATACATCCTATCAGACTATTTGGATGTTCAAATAAATCCTGAGAGCTGTTAGACTATTTAAATGTTGAAATAAAACCTGTCCCTATGCTTTCATTCTTCTTCGGAATTCTGCTTTCAGTAGACCAAGGTTACTTGCTGTGTAGCTTATCACTCCATATCTTGCCAGATGTCTCTCAACAACACGCAACAGTCATGTTATGACATGTCCACTTTCCTATAAACTGTTCATCTGATGGGATTTTAAATGTTATGTAGTAGATTAGGTTCTGAAAATGAAAAGAAACTGAGGAAAATAAAAAATAGACTCAGGTTTGTCTGAATAGTATGGAAGCTCATTTCCACTAGGTAGAGGAGAAAAACTGTGCCGATCTTTTTTGTCTTTCTCAGTTTCTGGTGTATGCAGTATGTACAATTCTGACTGGCAATGTAAAAAAAACCTTGTTATGTCGAAGTAATGACTCAGTTTCTTAAAATATTGCCTTATTATGTCGAAATGACTTATTTTCTCTAAATTCTGACTCTCGGAATGATGACTACATAACCTGAATTTATTACTTACTTAGTTGATATGTAAAAACACATTATTTTGGCTTAGAATATCAAAATTTCAAAATCTTGAGATGCTAAGTTATTTTAAGATACTATGTCAACATTTTGAAAAAAAACATTATTTTGAGATATTAGGTAAAATATAAAAAAACAAGCCATTAACCATTAGATACAGAGTCAAAATACAGACAAGGAGACAAAAGATCACAAATATGGAGACAATGTTCTAGAAAAGTGTAAACATGACAGATAGTGAAGATACCTATTTGTTACCTGTCGTTCAACAAATGCATGTAATGGAAAACACAGACGCAGCCAAAACATCACCGCTGTACAGATCATCATTAAACATTAATGATGCATTACAGCCTTAATGCATTTTCCGAGGCAAGGAGATAACCTGTGTTAATAAATAATTGCATTGAACACATTCCCCTTCCCCCAGTTATACAGTATTTCCCATTATCCACATGGAAGGGATAATATTGCACTTCATATTAAGATGCATTAGATATTTCCTCTGCATGTCATCCGACACGGTAAATTTTTTCGTCTTGCATCTTAATTATATTGTAGTCCTCTGTAGTGGATGTTATTGATGTTTAGTCTTCTTTCCTTTGGCTAATGCGAGTAATCATTTTCCTCATCACTCATACTCAAGTGAATTAGGCAGTATTCCTTTCCTCCACTGGACTAGATGGATGGTGTATAGTATGTACACTGTAATAGAAGTATACTGTAAAACAGCAGAGATCACATTCACAGTTTTTGCCACTGCACATGGCCTCGTCTTGGCTAATTTCTGCATCCTGAGGTGGTCTCTACAGGCGCTGTTAGCTGATAAGCATAACGGTATCCTCTCTGGGAACTCTGCATGGACAGACAATATGGAAACGTAAGAATATAAACTGGATTCTCACATATTCTTGAATAAATATAGAAAATATAACTTGTATTGATGCCAAGGTTTTACCATGTCTCAGACTCAAGCTCTATCATACCTACAGTACCAAAAGCTATTTATCTAGGCAGTAATTAGAAAAGTAGAAAACACTAACATGAGTAGAAATACACATAACATTAATATAATAAGAAATAATTTTATGCACGTCAGTGCATAAAGGAGACCTGTATTATTTGTAGTTATCACTAAGTACCTGGTTTGACTGATCAGTGCTTTATTATATCAACCCAAATGTGCTACTGATGGAATTTAACAAATCTTGTGAAGGCTGGGGGCATCAGAGAAATCTGGAACTGAACGTGTATTCTTAAAACTAGCTCACAAGATGTCAACTACTTTTTTGAAAACAAAAAGTTCTTACTTTTTACTGTACTTATGTTCATTCATTCTAATGATATGTGGTGATTTTACAAGCAAAAAGACACTCAAGGCTTTAGCCCAGTACTGTATGTCCTAACCAGAGCCTGCATACAACAACTCAGCTCTCTGAAATGTCCAATGTTTTTATTAACAAATGTTGCTACATTTTTTGAGGAATGAAACAGTTTGTGGTTCACTGGATGTTCAGCCTTTAGAACCAAGCCCATCTGTATTAAGGAATTATATTCAATGGCTTATTGTTAACAATAGGATACATAGTTTTAAGAATAAGCAACATTTTTCAAGGAAAAGCAACAATTTTCACTATTTGATAAAGCTTTGTTTTTTTCCACTGGCCTTTGTGATCAAATAAAAGATTTTTTTTACTGTCACAGTTCTTTTAAAGCCTCATACATGACATTACATTATCTCTGGGGTATAATAACAATACTGCACATATTAATGCCCTAAAACAGATTTATTACTGTACGTCCTCAGTATAACATGCAATAAATAACACAGGGTGTTTCTGACACACTTTAGAAAAAACTAAATAAAAATACCTGCTATTTTCAAACTCCACCACTGAGTGAAGTTAAACACTTTCATCTCAGCGTATGGTACCATAACTAAAGTAAAAAAAGCAAAAAATCCATCTACAGTAACTGGCAGATGACCAGTAAAAGAACCAGACGTTGATAACAGAGAAAATGGATCTTTATCTTCTTGCTACTCAAACTATATGTTTCATGGGATCAATCTAATGCTGAAAGTATTAATGGGATTCAAGCCTCACTTTAACAGACGTACTACAAATGATCTAATGAAAGATGATAAAGATCTGCTGAATGTCTAAATTAGGAGTAAAGACCACTTTGCTGGCTCTGCTCAAATCTACTCAGTGTCTTGTTAGCTTGTCTCTGGGTGGATAAGTGGCTTTTATCTGGGATTTATATACAACATCAAATTACAGTTGGGATTTTTCAGACACTCCTTTCAGATAAAGGCTGCCAACTGGGCAATAACAAAGCATGTAAAGAGCGAGCACTGTTATGGGATATCTGCCAGGCCTTCACATCTGCTTGGAGAAAAGGCAAAAACTGCATGGTCTCATATTTTAGAGGAGTATTCCAGTGTGTTTCAGCCTCAATCTCCATCTGCCACATCTGTATCATACAGTTGATCACCGCAGACTATAATTCAGATAGTTTTCACTGTACTTACAAAAAAAAAAAAGTAATAACAGAATTCTTTGGGCAGTTGATGAATTCATGAGTCATTATTTATGCAAGACACACATTATTGTAGAACATTCATGAATTCTTTAGCCTGAGGTATTTAAGTCTTAAGTCTGTACAGTTAAATCTTTCAGAGATAGAATTTGTTTTCCCAGAAGGAAGAGTTGGAGGTAATTCATTACCAGTGTAGTGGTGTGGGTGGAGTTTTCACAGGCTCCGCTTGATTGCGCATGGGTATCAGACTAACATGGGCAAGTGCAAGTAAATAAAATTGCTCCTTACTGTGTTGAAAAAGTTGAATTAAACTAAAAAAAGCAGCTTTGACAAGACATCCTCTCATGTCTGTCATATTCTAACACTTGCACTGTTGTAGTTTTTCCAGATTGTATACTGTCACATTTATTTATGGAAATTAGAAACTTCCCAAAGGGTTCTGTTTTAGGTGAGTTTAGAGTTTAGATTTTCTGTTCTTATCTAAGCACAGGAAAACATGAAATTATTGTCCGGTGTGCTACAGATGTGTCAGACAGAGATCAGGCTGAACAACATTGGAGCATTCATTTAGCAAGCCAATGGGAGGTAACATTTTGTTAATGCTACTTTTGCAGCAAGAGGTTCTTGTTCGTTACTCTTGATATGGTAGATCGGTCAAAAATGATTAAACAGCTGAGAAGTACTCAGAGATCTAGGCCTGGTAGGCCATAGTACAGTTCGGATGAGTATATTCCATAGTTTAGTGTTGCAGGGCTCCAAAAAACCTTTTGCCCTTTTGCCGAACTGCCTTAAAACCACAACTCATCATCAGTGAAATATTCGATTGACTCGACTGTTTCACTCTTTACAGAGGTGAAATCATCTGTATAATGTACCTTCCACTGTGTAAATGACGTTTTAAAGCATACTGTTGCTGTTCTAACAAAACTTTGTATCGCTGGCAATTTTTTAAGTGAAAGGAAAAAAAACTCTCATATCTAGTGTAAATGTAAGTGGCAGGTGATTATTTCAAATGCTAAGAGGTTTTGATATGACTGTGGATATGCAAGACACAACATACCTACTTGCACTGCTCAAGGAGAAAGCTTTGTTTGTGTCAGCCTTTGCTTGCTTATCACAAGAGTTACTCATAGCCAAGGGGAAGCTTTCTTGAGCTTTTCTCTCTCTCTTTTTTTTCCAGACTAGCCCTACATTTCTCTGTAATCAGCACATAGCTGGGTGTGTCCACTTCTCTCTCCCACCGCTAATTTCATTTCGTATGCCACAGCGGCCTAACCTCAGCGCTTGGGAGAAATCTGGAGCCTGCTGGCTGATGCCTGAGATTGTGTACCTTGTGCAGCAACACAGCGTGACCGAGGGGCCACCATTTTCTCCGCTCCCACCATCATCCTCCCCCTCCGGCAGGGGGAAATCCTTCCCTGTCCTCAGGAACAGCTGCAGCTCGGTCAAGGGGAATCTGGTCTCCTGGTAGCGTAAGCCCACATGGAAAAGGGAATGTTAAAACAGCCGATTGATCAGGCAGTACACGCTTGGTATCTGAAGACTGCTTCTCTAGCTTTGCACTGGAGCTATGAGGCTAATGTTGCTAACGAGTCAAGAAATCTTTTACTCCCCCGATTAGCATTGTGCATATTTCTGAATTCTTAAATCATCATTTCGGCCTCAAAACTGTATCTGCTAAGGAATCTCAAATAGAGTTGTGGTTTCTAGCACTGTATAATATAGTGGTATCTACAAATCGGACAAAGTTATGTTGCATACATCCTAAACAGGCTTACATATACGGCTCCAACTATCTTTAGCTATGTAAAATACTTTTATATAGACAACAGAGCATCAGAAAAGGTATAAGTAAGTCTGTTTGAGACTCCTTAATAAACTGATGCAGTCTAACACAAGTGTGTGATGACTTTATGCATCTAGTTTGCACAAGGCTAACTGGTGAGGTATAAGCTTCCTTTAGGCCTTCTTTTTAGCTACATTCGCCTCATAGCTCCAGCCCAAAAGTAAAGAAAGAAGCTTCAGACACTATAAATGCCTTTGCAGATGGACTACATTTGGGTTAACAGGGAAATTGAATTGAAAATTGAATTTTATACATTTTTTGCCAAACTCTTTAACTGAGAGCATGGATCAAATGCCACCCCAATCCTGAAAGAAGCCCAACTGTGCCCATGTCATGTATTGTAACTTTGCTGGGGCCATCCTTATGCTTCTATGCTTCTTGTATGACCTTTGGTTACCACAGCACTTAGGAGCCTGTTCAGAGGTTTCCTTTATAATGTTGAGGTTTAGAACTAAGAGCTAATGGAAGGCAGGCCCTGGGAAGATAGTCTGCTCAACCTTTGCTTATGAGCTACAGTGGTTAGGCATGTTGTGGAGGTACCTTGATGGTCTCGTAAGCGTCTGTGATGAGGGCTATAAAGAGGCTGAGCACCATGTAGACAAAGAGAGATATGAAGGTGTAGAGGTAGACTCTGCTGAACAACCACACCAGAGTGTTATTCTGTTGGAACTCTGCAAACGTAGGGAACATGTCATCTCCGTTCACAAGAGAGAAGAGGCACTCAGCAACACGGCTCAGACCCTCAAACTGACCCCCATACAACAAACCAGAGCAAGGAGAGACAAAGGAAAAGTGTAAAATTAGCATATTGGGTAATAGCATACATGAGTTTATCTTCATATTTGTATGCACTGTATTACATAAATGGGAGACTAAATATGATTAAAAGATTAAGCAAAACATAAAGGCACACACCATGACCGAACTCTTTGCAAATAGTAAGTCATTCCATTGCTTGCGGATGTACATTGTACACATAATTGTGCTGCCATCTTGTGGTTATAATGGGATGCTACACAGTAAACAAGTATTTCCCAAAAAAATAGGATTTTGTTGGTATTCTATTCAATTCTTCTAAATGCACAAGGAATCTCACATTTCACTGATTATTTTGGTATGATTCTGATTTTTTTAAAAATAATATGACTGCATGAGATGATAAGTATAGTGCGATGGGTAACACTTCTGCCTTTTATGCTGTAGACTGGGGTTCGATCCCCCCGCCTGGGCAAACCCTACACTATACCAGTAAGAGTCCTTGGGCAAGACCCCTAACACTACCTTTGCCTGCTGCTGTATGATAATCAGAAATGCTCTGGATAAGAGCATCTGCCAAATGCCATAAATGTAAATGAGATCAAACTAAAATCAAAGCAGCTGAATTGCCACCCTCTGATCATTGCATTTTACATTTTAGACTCCTATTTTCTTCCTGATCAACCATGCTTCAAGGTCAGGTCATTTGATTAAAACTGTGGCCTGTTACCTTTTGAGGCCTACATTAGTTACCTTTTCATGATAGGGCCCCAGGACGATCCACCCACAAAATGTGTAGCCCAGATAGATCATTCCTGCACAGCAGCAGAAGCGTAGCACCTTTGGCAGGGCTGCTTGCATAGTGAGGATAAGAACCTGCACCAGAACAGATGGTTTCAGCTTATTGTAGGCCTTAAAGCAACAGTTGAGTGCAAAATCAAATGGATACAATATCTCCCTTTTGATTCCAAATTTAGTATGGTGTAGTGCTCTGCCTTCTTTGCTGTAGACTGGGGTTCAATCCCCTGCCTGGACAAGCACCCTACACTATACCAATTAGAGACCTTGGGCAAGACTCTTAACACTACCTGTGTATAAAAATAGAAATTCAAATCAAATTGTAAGTTGCTCTGGATAAAAGTGTCTGCCAAATGCCATTAATGTAAATCATGAAGTGGCTTCAAACTGTTACACAAATAGACTTGCTTATGTGGTTTCTAACACTGTAAGACATACTGTTAAAAATAATCTATAAAAATATTATCCTATTGTTGTTCTAATTTGTACCCAAGAACGAGTGTTTACTCACATTGTACTTCTGAAAATATCCCAAATATCTGATGACACCAACCCACACCATGAGTGTGGATGTTCCCAGAAAGATGCTACACACATCATAGCTAGTCATGCTCTGTGGAGACAAAGAGAGAGAAAGACTTTAACACTGAACTATGACAATCAAATACATGTAATAGCTCTCTCTTAAATCATCATGTCTTGAGTTCAAGAATATTTAATCTTGGTATCAGTAACCTTGGACTACTTTGTTCTTGTCCTTGACCTTCTAAAACAGACACTTTTTACTTAATACATATTTTATAGCGAATAGCTGGCTGCCCAGTAAGCAAATAAGTAATCATGTTCAGTTGCTGGTTACATGTACTTGTGTGTAAATGGGCTATAATGTAATATGTTATACACTCACTGGCTACTTAATAAGGTACACTTTGTATATCTTCATTCTTTGTCCATTTTTTCAGCCCCACTTACCATATAGGTGCACTTTGTAGTTCTACAATTACAGACTAGCCCATCTGTTTCTCTACATAATTTGTTAGCCTCTCTTTACCTTCATCTTTTTCATCTTCTTCTTCTTAAACCACTTGATCCAGCTAGGGTCGCAATAGCAACAGGGAAAGCAGAGAATCCCAGAAAACCATGTCCCCTGCTGCATCCCCCAACTCATTCTGGGGAATCCTGAGCCGCTCCCAAGCCAACTTGGAGATATAATTCCTCCAGTGAGTCCTATTATGACCTCAGGGTCTCGTCCCAGTCAGCTGTGCCTGGTAAACCTCCAATTAGAGGTGTCCAGGGGCATCCTAATCAGATTCCCGAACCACCTCAACTGGCTCCTCTCAATGTGAAGGAGTAGCGGTTCTACTTTGAGCTCTGCCTGGATGACTGAGCTCCTCATCCTATCAACGAGAGTGTAGCCCACCACCGTGCAAAGAAAGCTAATTTCCACTGCTTGTACCCACAATATCATTCTTTCAGTCATTACCCAAAGTTTATGACCATAGGTGAGGTGGGGATGTACACCAACTGGTAAATGGAGAGCTTTGCCTTAAGGCTCAGCTCCCTCTTCACCACTAGTCCGGTACAGCAACTGCATTATTGCTGCCGCCTGTTCCAACCTGCGGCCGATCTCACGATTCCTTTTCCCATCACTCATAAACAAGACCCTGAGATACTTACACTCCTCCACCTTGGGCAGGTCCTTTCCTCTTACCTGGAGGGGGCATGCCATCCTTTTCCAAACAGACTTGGGTGATGATCTGCATACCAGCTGTTTCACACTCAGCTGCAAACCGTTTTGGTGCACGCTTGAGGCATCCATGAGATGGAGCCGAAAGGACATCATCTGCAAAAAGCAGAGATGCCATATTCTGTCCTCCACACATAATGACCTCTCTGACCTCGGCTACACCTAGACACCCTGTCCATGAATATCACAAACAGGAGTGGAGACAAAGCACGACCTTGGCGGAGTCCAACGCCCACATTGAATGAGCTTGACTTAATGCCAAGTATACTGACACAGCTCTCATCAAGTCCATGTGACATTGCAGAGCCCCTTAACATACAGGGCCTTAAACCTGCCTCTGAGGAGCTTGTCAAATACCTCAGTGACCTCCACCAGGGAAATGGAGTCTGACACCCCAGGAGCCTCTAGCCCTGACTGCCGTGCCAACAACATCCTCATTTGAAGAGTTTCTCCACCCCTGCTGAGAAAGCTTGAGCAAAGCTACTATGACTGCTCCTGAGTTACGGGACGGTTGTCCAGAGCCTCCTTGAAACCAACCGAAAGTTTTTTCCATTGCCTCTCCAAAATCCTCCTGTGTTCTGGATTTTGATTCTGCCACCTTAGTCAGGAGTCCTCCAGGCCAACCAGTCCCTAAAGGCCTCCCTTTTAATCAATAGTCATGCCCCCCACAGGACCACCACAGAGCAGGTATTATTTGGATGGTGCATCATTCTCAGCACTGCTGTTACACTGACATGGTAGGGTTGCTGGAGTTTTTAAACAGCTCAGTGTCACGGCTAGACTGAGAATACTCCACCATCCAAAAATATCCAGCCAACTATTAATAAACAGGGTTAAGGAAGTAATAAATTATGTAGAGAAACAGATGGACTACATGTGTAATTGAATGACTTCAAAATAAACCTATATGATAAGTGGACCTGATGAAATGGACAATGAGTATAAATACAAGGAATGAGTGCTAGTTATAAAAGGCATTGTAAACAGGACTAATTTAGCACATGCAGTGTAAATTTTGCCTGGTTTATAAGCAAAAATGTTTGGATTTTCTATCCAGCAATAAAAGACTCTCAGAGTAAATTTATTTCGGAATGGGGTTGACTAGAATGTTGTCTGAAAACAGTTCATTTTAAAATAATTTAGTTTTGAGTCAATTTTGTAGTGAGTCATAATTACCTTTGCCTGTATTTCCATCTTCAGTACAGATCCTATGATTGCCATAACATCGCTGATAATTACCAAGACATACCAGCCATTTAAAAATTCTCTTTGGTCATCCTCACATACTTTGTGGTTGTATTTTTTTAGGCAAAACTTGGAAAATCTCTGCAAAAAGAGGAAGCATCTTAAATCATAACTGGATAATAAGTAAACATAACTGTAAAACATAAACACAATATATGAAAAGGCCCAAACAAAGTGAACACTATCAAAACACTGTATGACTGTAAAAAATACTGTATATGGGCAGTTATTTCTCATGAATGAGGGTCTACCTGAAGTAATCTAATTGCCAGAACAATGGAGCGAAAGCACAGCACAGCAGAAGTGAGACACACTAAAATAACGAAGCCATCAAAGATCAGGAGGTAGTGAGTGTTCTTCTGAGCTGAAAAAGACAACCATAGTTTTGTAAATTATTGCTATTCATGTTAATGGTTGAGTTATCCAAAGAAAATGATGCTGTAATTCAGCTGTACACTCAATAGTGTTGACAGTATCAAGTTCACAAGAACAAGGCAGGACCACCTATAAATGCAAGTGTGATATACATATTATTTGACACCACAACATTTATGCTAACATTTATTATGCTCAGTTGCCAAACATTCACAGTAATTTAATGATTTCAATATGTTGAAGGAATATCTCTGGAATTTTCAGCCTAATCCCGATCTGCCGCATCTGTATCTGTGGATCCTTGTGTGGTCTTCACTGTACAAAGGACTCTTAACTCCATACCCAACACTGTACAGAACTGTAAAACTGTATCCATTTATACTGTTTTGTGTCTGTGCTGTTATCTGGTGTCGACCAGAGGAGGATGGGTTCCCCTTTTGAGTCTGGTTCCTCTCTAGGTTTTATCCTCCTGTTCAGGGAGTTTTTCCTTGCCACTGTCGCCAAGGCTTGCTCACTGGGGACACGGACCCGGATTCTCTGTAAAGCTGCTTTGTGACAACATCTGTTGCAAAGGCGCTATATAAATAAATTTGACTTGACTTGTATCATACTGTTGTTAGCCACGGACAACAATTTCAACACAGTTCCCTGTATTTAGAAACGACCTGAAAACCTGTGGACTTGAAACTCACTCATAATAAGAAGTCAATGGGCAGCTGCTGAATAAAAGTAATATATAATAGTAGTAGAAAGAAGTAATTATACAGTGATTATTGATGGTTGGTATAGTGTAGTGGGTAACACCTCTACCTTCCATGCTGTAGACTGGGGTTTAATCCCCTGCATGAGCAAGGATCATACACTATACCAATGAGAGTCCTTGGGCAAGACTCCTAACACTACCTTTGCCTACCTGTGTAAAATGATCAAAAAGTCACTCTGGATAAGAATATCTGCCTAAATGCTTAATTTACAAACACATCTGATTAAAGAATTCATGAAAACATTTTACAAAAATATGTTGCACATAAATATTAACTAACAACATTTAACAACTGCCCACTGGCTTCTGTTCTAACTGTGTTTCAAGTAAGAAGATTACTGTTCCATTCTGAGCAAAGAAAAATGTGTCGAAACGATTGTCTGTTGTAATCAACCACATGGTACAAACGTGGCAGATAGAATTAAGGTTGAAAAAACACTTAAGTGTTCCTACTGACAATGTCAACCAGCAAGCATGTTTTTGTTGTATGGGGTCATAGCATGGTCTGCTAATGTTGACTACTTCATCATGTGATGAATCTAAATGGTAATTATATATAAGTAACCAATTTCGGCTTTGTCTGAGGAAATTCTGATTAATTATTAAAGACGGCCACACAATATTTCCCATAAAAAACAGGCTTTGTTCATGGGAATGAAAGCGTGATTTAATTTGTCAGCACTCAGTGTGCCAGCAGTACTGTGTGTGTGGGTGTGTGGTGTGTGTGTGTCTCATACCAGTTCCAGATATCTTCCAGTTCTTGCATGCACCACTAACAGAATTAAGATCCAGGGTAATTTTCACTTTCCCACTATGGCACTGATTGTCAAATTTAATCTGGAGAAAAGTCAGATGATGCATTTATAATTCACTCTCTGACAACATAATCAAACTCTCATTATTGTACCAGGCCATGTTTTAAAACACATCTTACCGTCACAGCAAACATGTAACAGTCAGGCGGCTCATGCGATCTTACGGTTTGTAGGTTAATTCCTTTAAGTGTGAAAGAGATCTCAATATTGACAAGCCTGTAGTTGACAAGAAATACAAGCAGTCTTAGTAGCCTAATAGATAACAATGAAGACAGAAATTCAAGCAATTAAGCATCCATACCTGTAAAAATCCAGCTCGAAGAAAGTGGAACTCTTTGTTCTCCATGTTGCAACAGACTTGGGATCCAAAGTCAAGCAAACTGAGAATGAAAAAGATTAGTTTTAGTCAAAAAATGATGTACATGAATCATTACTTATGTTAAATGTCTCAGTGAGAACGATTATACAGACTATCAGGGTTTGATCACTTCAAAAAAGATGTAAATACAAACCACACAGTACAGACACTGTACTACCCTACAGGAAGAAATACATAGCCAACAACATGACATATGCAAAACCACTACTCGTTTTCAGTTAAACAGTTAAACAAAAAGGAATGCAAAATTACACTATGCAAAAAGGTAATATAATTCTAGTATAGTACTTTGCTAAAATCAAGCAATATGTGGCTACTTACGATGTAACATCATAGTTCATCACAGTGTATCAGGACATCACAGATCAGGACACTGCAAAGCACCACTTTCTTTGAAATACTATACTTTTATATTGTTCAATTCTCTAATAAAAACATTCATATATTAACACAAGGCACATTATCAGCCTCTCCTTATTTTTGCTGTATTGAATGTATTAAATTGAGATTCCACCATATTGAAACACTTCTAGTGTCTACTGTTGTAATCACATGACTTATTTTGCCTTAGGCCATGTTGCACTGCCTGCACTTCAAGTGAGTGTGTAATATTCCAGGTTAGATTAGTTAAAGAATCCAATCAGATTCATTTTTTATTACTCCCAGCATGTTCCGCTGGTACTGGCTCAAAACTGGAATGGCACCATCTCTAGTGGCGTTCGTTCTTCTTTCTTCCTGAATATGCAGGGTGGTGTGGTGAAGCCAATACCTTTCTCAGTTTGGGCATCAATATCGTAGGACCCATCTGACGGCTCCACCTTGCCCAGTCTGTAGTACTCTTTACAGATGACCAAGGGCAGTAGCTTCCCATTCTCCCCAGCATAGCTAACAGGGCCCACAGACAGCTGGTCTAACTGAGAATACTGCAATATGGATTAAGAAAAATTACACTGAACGGTACAGTTTCTTCACAAATTCACCATCATAGTCAAATTAAGACACAGCTTAAATAAAACAAATGAAACAAGAAACAATTGCACCCAAAGTTGAAAAGTTGAGATTGAAAAAATACAAACCTGATCTAAGACATAGAATATATTATCAATGACACTCTGTTTGGTGTAAACAGCCACGCTGTAGTCATCTTCATCTACACCACTGTAGCTCTTCAGGAACAAATTCTTGAAAGCCATCAAGTTCTCTTCCTTGTAGGCCACCACAAGCTGGTTGCTTAGGCCAAAGAGAACAAGCTTTGAAAGCAGAGTAAAGAACAGATATGTGAGTTTGACAGCAAGAGCATTATAGCTACAAAGATCATTTAGAAAGGATTATAGCTACATTATCTTTGCAATATAGTGACAATGGTCATATTCAATTAGCTTTAAAAGGAAATTAAAGAATCAATATTAGCTCCAAGGTGCATATTCAATGAAAAAAAATCACAAATCACATAAGCCATAAAGCAACATACTGCATCCTATGGGGGCCTTGCAGTTAATTTTTATAGTTAATTTGATACCTGAGTCGTAATCATAACTATTTTTAAAATCTGCACAGCCAGCTTCCACGGTAGTTGTCGTCTCGCTCTGTATTTCTCACAGGGACTCATGAAGTAGTATCTCAGGTCTTCTCTCAGCGTTTCCTCCATCATAGGCTCAAGGGTCACAGGCATGTTAATGCTACACCAAAACAGACGACCAGCAGTTGTCAGCTATGTAAACAATGAAGTTTAAAGGCCCCATTTCAGGGTCAACTGAATTCTCCTCACTTTTTTGAAAAGACTTTCAAAACATGCAAATCATTCTCCAGTCAACACAGTCCATATATATGAACTAAGCTGCTAAAACAGCCTGTTTTGAAGTTACAGTTTTTGTGATGTCATAAAAACCAACACATTTACATATGCTTGCTGTCCAAAGAAAAACAAGTATCTCCAAAATAATAACTTTACAAGAGAGGGCAAAAACATTCTTTACTTTCAGTGTAAGTTGATGTAAGGAGATTTGGAGCATTTTTATTGTTCCAAGCTTCATGAAATTTTCACCCAGTGTAAACGACAGCTGCCATGTTCAAATGATGCAGAAAAGTAAAAACTGAAAGAAAAAAAAAAGGATATATGTTTTTCTTTGGAGAGCAATGATATGTTCACCCTACTTTGAAGTTGTAAAGCGTGTCTCAGCCTGGATTGCTATTAGAATGAGGCCCAAAACCGAGCAGCCAATCATAACTGAGGCACAGTAACAAAAACACGCTGTTTAATTCTAAGACATAAAGAGAGCTTGGAAAATGCTCATATAAAAATGAATTATGGCTATTTTAGGTACATGATGAAAAAGTTAAAGAACACTTTATGGACTGTGAGGGCCCTTTAAAGGAACAGTGGGATTGCTAAAGGAACATGCAATTTGATAAAAAGTCAGACTGTTCTGGCTTATATGCAAAATTAGTATCAGAGCTGTAAATTCAGTTTATTAAATATCAAAGCAAGCAATATAAGATACTTATTTCCATGTGACAGTTCTATTCTCAAAATGAGGAAGGTGATACATCGTTCATCATACAGGAAGTGTTCTAGCCAAGTGTGAGGTTTTCTATTTGTCCTATCAAACATTTCCAAAACTGCACAGAGAACATTGACAGGGTTCATACGGGAAAAGTCCAAGGTTAAGCATGAGCAATCAAAATACTGGCAGTGCTGGAGCTGCATTTTTAAAATACTGACACAATTTTGAACATATGCATTTTGATAAGATTTTTCATTTTATTTCCATTTTCATTTAATCTAAAACTGTACTGTAACTTTAACTTTAATTAAATAATGGCCCAAGCAGGAGAAGCTAGCAAATAAGGTGGGTTGGTCTAGGCAAGTATGTAATATGAATAACTCATAATATAATATAATATGAAATAAAAATAATCAAGTCAAAAAAGCTTCTGAATACCGAGTTCCCTAAAGAACAGCAGGAACCTCTTACCATCTATCAGCGTAGGAAGTGAAGTTTGTTATGTGCTATTCTTTTTTTTTGTGCTAAAATAAAATGCTAAGGTCAGGAGTGAGAGGTATGAGCAGCAGTAAAACAGTGAAAGTGCTGAACCTAAAATACTTGAACCCCAATGAAACCCTAAAACGTTTTTTGTTTCTTGTTTGTGGTGACACTTTTCTAGCTGCAGTAGGTCCTGTAGATCTCCTGCGCTGCGCACTGTCCTGTTTCCTGCACCATCACTTCATCAATATATAGAATAACCAGCAAACGCTCCAACCTTGCATAAGCGGAATAAGGAATGAAAGAAAGTCTAAATTGAGCAGGTGGGCTGCTGGACTGTTGGAGGGAAACACTAGTTTATAATAACGCTTAGTTACTTACCTCGTCGAGTCTGATTTTCTGTCCAACAACTCCATAGCAACTGTTCTGCCAGGTTTGAAGCGGTTTAACTTTCACAAGATGTTCAGTGACTGTCAGTCAGTGTTTCATTCCGAGTTACAAGGAAGCTCCGCCCCTCCGCCGCTCCTGGACGAATCGCAGGCTCAGAAATTCTCCACTAGGCCTGTACGTACTGTACTGAATGAAGAGTTCATTCAAGACCTATCAAAAAACTATTACTACTACTACTACTACTGCTTACATTACTAATATTACTACTACTAAGAATATTTTTATCAATACTACAACTAATAATAATAATAATAATAATAATAATAATAATAATACTATTACTAGGACTACTACAACCAATAACACTAATATTACATCTACTATTAATACTAATACTAATGCTGCTCTACCACTACTACTACTACTACTACCAATAATAATAATAATAATAATAATAATAATTATTATTATTATTATTATTATTACAAAAAAAATCCATCAGAAAGTAATGATTTTCACACACATGTAGTTTTGAAAATACAAAAGTATTTATTCAAGCGTTTCCATCGATGAAAGACTTCAGTATGATATTCAGTCTTCAGTCTTCACACTTACGAATAAAAAGAAAAAAGTCAAATTATATACACAATTACAAAGAAATAAAGAAATAAAACAGCTATTTCTAAGCCATCTGCATTATTGCATTGTTTCTTGAACTGGAGCCCCAATAGTTTCGACATGCTCCTCTTTGCTGGATGGATCCAAAACACCTGCTGACAGCTCCACCTACAAACAAGACGAAAAGCTAAACATTTAAACATTCAAAGTAGAACTGAAACTGGATAAATTGGCAAAATAATGATGGCAAAAGATGCAGATCATATTTGAGAAACAGCAACATAAGGCAAACGAAAAAAACGAACAAAAAGCACCAACATAAGAGGAAACACTAATACTAACCCTTTAGATACTATTTAGACGACATACATTTTGAATCAACAGCAACATTTATAAAACCCACACACGATACACCGACAAACCCATGATCCCCAAAAAGTTCAGGAACATTCCTGGTGTGCTAGTTCATGTTAGTCTGTGTGGACCAAAGTCTCTTACATTTTTCTTAATGCTGCAAATAGTCACTGTCAGAACAAAACCTCTCTCTATTTTTGTCTTTTTTTGCGATGCTTTTTATTTTTTGAGCAATAAAAATGGTTTAAAATCAAAAAGAGTAGTTCTGACAGGGACTATATAAATAAATGATCCCTCTTTCTCTGCCTCTTTGCTTGGCTGAGCATGTTACTGACCAGTGTTTGAAGAGTAGTAGTTCAACATAATTAAGGTCACAATTAAAAAAGAGAAATGCTTTTTTGTCCAAATTACCCAACTTTTTTGGTCCACAAGCAGCTGATGGCGATGGAGAGAGCAGCGAAGACAGAACAGGATGATGCAATTAATATAAATTATGGTAATGATTAAACATGTTATGTTATATATCTTAAATACAACAAAACATTTTTGTTGCCATCCCAGAATTCCAGTGTGTGCGGGCACATAAAAGCTTGACGTTTGCAACAGCTAATCATGTGAAACATGAAGAGGAGCGTAGCAGTTTATTTACAAAGAAGGATGACATGATGCTATGTAAATATGTAAAAGGTAAAGCATGTATAACAGCTGTCACCACTGCCACTGTATTAGTGCTTAGTGGAGTAATAACCACTTCATATTCTAGATATCTTTGCATTATCATTTGTTTCTTCCGCTAAAAAGTAATATTTTTCACATGAATGTTACCACAGACTCAAAAAGGAAAAAATTAGCCAAAAAGAAACAGAGGGGTCTACATCCAACAGAAGGTTATCCCTGACTGGTCAGATGCTCTCCCTGATTGGTTGAAGAGTAGTTTATAAACCAATATCCCACACTGAACATGGTTTTGGTAAATCAGCAGACTGTACTTGGTAGGAGTGGGAATCTCTAGGCACCTCACGATTCAATTCGATTACGATTCAGGGGGCTGCGATGCAATTATAAAACGATTATCGATGCATCTCGATGCATCTTTTTTTTCTATATAGCATTTATATTCTCTCACTGTGTGAGCTCAAGTTTCAAGTTTCAAGTTTATTTGTCATTTGCACAACATGTCAGGACATTTATGCATCACTCTACAGAAAGTAAATAAGTAAAAATAAAAATACAAGAAAAACCGACTGAAATATATTAAATATACACAAAATATACACAAAATATATACAGAATATAGAGACAATATACATTTTAAAGTGACTAAGTGACTTGGTGTTATTGTTATTTAAAGTGACTTGGTACTTTTAAAGCAAAGTATTTGTAATGATCCATAATGAATTTACTTCCAATATCTTTTTTAATAAATCAAATGGAAGTGATGTGGCAAGTGAACTAGAAGGCTCTCATTCAGTGCTCTTGTTTGGAGCACGAGAAGCTGCTGCTACTCATCTGCGATAAAATGCGCAGTTATCGTGAAATAAGATCCAGTGGTAGTGGATGTCCACGCAGCACATGTTACAGCTATTCTACCCGTTTTCTTTAGTGATTTTATAACTTCGGTTTTGGTCTCGTTGTAGAGTGTGTCAGTAAAGTATCTTTGAGACGGGACGTGTGCAACATAGCGGTTTTGGTCTCGTTGTAGAGTGTGTCAGTAAAGTATCTTTGAGACGGGACGTGTGCAACATAGCGCGAAAGCCCTGTTTCGCCACGACTGAGAACCGGCGTGCAGACTGCAGGTCACATAGCAGCGAAGCGTTATTCGCATTTATAAGCAGCGCAGTTGGTTTCCTGGTACGTTAAAACTACAACGAGAGACAGTCAAAACAGTAAAAAGTGGCGAAGCTGAAGTCAGCTTCTCTTTCGAATTCTCCCGTTCCACCTTAAATGGTGCCGCATTTACATTTGGCGCCTCAGTTAGAATTTAAGGTGGAACGGGTAAATTCGAACAAGAAGCTGGAGAATAAGAAGCAACTTCAGCCTCGTAAAACAGTCGTTAAGAGACATTTAACTGATCTACTTCTGACGAAAAGTTTTCTGGCGGAGATGGGAAGAAAAAAGCTTTAAAGCTTAAAGCAGAGTAGAGTAAGTCCGCGTTTTCGTTTATATTGTTTAGCCTGTACTAGAACATTAACACAGACTGAGACATACTGGACATTAAATGTTGTGGCTGCCAAGGTGGTTTGATTTTTGTTGAAAGGACAAAATGGCTCTTCTTAACATTTGTATTGCGACTCCTGACCTGACATGGCTTTTAATGCAGAGGGAGCCAGTCGGATTTCTCACTCATCCACTTGTGTTTTTGTTATGTGCTGCCACAGACTGTCCGGGCGCTGCACTTACCCAATTCTAAGTTCCGCCAACATTACGTTATAAATTAAATATTTAGAAAATAGATTTTTGACATTTGTGAATCGATTCAGAATCGTTCACGTCCGCATCGCGATCCATCTAAGAATCGTTTTTTTCCCGCACCCCTAGTACTTGGAGATATAATGAACCACTACTTCTATCGTACTTCTACTACGATCTGCTGATTAATCATATACATTATTTTTTCAGGGCCAGTGTACAGAAAAATTTTTGTTCCTGGTCCAACACATCATTCAAGTAGCATAGAGACAAACACTATACTTACATTACTCCTTTGGTTATCTCCTGATGTTGTGTTGTCTATGTTGTTACTTTCAGCACTTTGCCCCTTGGGTGCAGGTTGAGAGGGTTTCTGCTCCGTGTCGTTATGTGCAGGTGTCTTGTTTTCCTCTTTGTTCACATCTGCTGGAGGTTCAGCCTCTGTTCGCTGCTGAACTCCTGAGTCTTTAGCTGCGGCTCCCTGAAGACTGTCTGTCTCATCGCCACTGTAAAGGTTGTCAGCATTCCGTAAGGTTTCCACATATACCTTTCGCCGCTCTTCTCTGGGCCTGTTGGGTCTCCTCTGGCGAATTTCCAGCCTGTCACGGTCCTCATTAGTTCTGTTGCCTATCTGGTTGACTCGGTTGCCCTCCTGGCCTGCACGATGTCTAAGTGGCGGGACATGGTCAGCATCGCCTCCTGCCCACTGGTCTCTTTCCTCCTCTCTGTCTGGCTCCCTCAGCGGAGGAGCGTTAGGCTGCTGCACAGCGGGTGGAGGGTCTTTGCGCCCACCACGCAGAGGCCTAAGGGCAACGTGCTGGATGGCTGCTTGGGCACTGCCATACATAAACACCTGAGGAGGGAAAGACGGTAATTAACTTTTTAGTGGGAATTAGAAACATTAAGGGAGTAACAAATAAAAAGCTATATTTTTCAGGATAAAGTCATGTGAAAATGGGCCAATTTAAAATGTAGTAAACAAGTTAAAAACATTGTACACAGTTGTGGTTAATTTTTCAGAGATTCAAGGATGAATAACAAAATGTTTTTCATTTTGGTTTGTTCTGAACAGAAACAGTATTTTTGTGCCACACCTTTCTCTGCAGTTACAACAAAATAAAAGAATAAATAATGTCTCTTTAATATTTATATATCACAGAAAACCCAATTTGCCTCTTTTCTTAATCAAAAGTATTCTATGTAGTATTTAAACTCTGTTAATGTTTTAACATGTACTGTTTTCGCCCCAGTCCATAGGGTTTAATTATATGGAAACTAAACTACAAAAACAGCCTATTTTGAATTTGAATTTACTGTTTTTGTGATGTGACAAAAACTGAATTGAATTGTTTTCACTTCCCAAAAACAACAAAAAAAAAGGCAACAAAATGTTTGACCTGGAGTCCCCAAACTTTTGCATGCAACTGTACGTCTGCTTATTCAGCCTACGACAGTTTAGCTCTCTGTCCATTGTAAGTGAAGAATAAGCAACAATCAGCACAGATGCTCAATAAAACTCAGAAACTGCATTCTATAAAAGCTTTTCGCTCTGGAAGACCGTCATTTTGTTCCTGTGGAAAAATACTGCCCATTATTGGTTTGCATTTTCTATGAGCTGTTTCTAATCTAGGCTTTGTAACTTGGGATGTAAAATTTGAAAATTAAGGTTTGCATCCGTTTCTAAAAACCTATTATCTTCACAGTCAACAGATTTTGAGAGTGCC